GTTGGCAGCCATAGTTCACGCATTGAAGATTTGGAGGCATTACTTGTATGGCGTTGCATGTGAGGTGTTCGCGGATCACAAGAGTCTTCAGTATTTGTTCAATCAAAAGGAGTTGAATTTGAGGCAGAGGAGGTGGTTGGAGTTGTTGAAGGATTATGATATCACCATTTTATATCATCCGGGAAAGGCCAATGTGGTGGCCGATGCTTTGAGTAGGAAGTCAGCAAGTATGGGCAGTCTTGCTTATATTCCGGTCGGTGAGAGGCCGCTTGCTTTGGATGTTCAGGCTTTAGCCAATCAGTTCGTGAGACTGTATGTTTCTGAGCCCAGTCGTGTGTTAGCTTGCACGGTTGCTCGTTCTTCATTATTGGAGCGTATCCGTGATCGGCAGTATGATGATCCCCATTTGTGTGTCCTTAGAGACACGGTGCAGCGCGGAGGTGCCAGGCAGGTTACCTTAGATGATGATGGAGTTTTGAGATTGCAGGGCCGAGTATGTGTGCCTAATGTGGATGGGCTCCGAGAGTTGATTTTGGAGGAGGCCCATAGCTCCCGGTACTCTATTCATCCGGGCGCCGCGAAGATGTATCAGGATTTGCGGCAGCATTATTGGTGGCGTAGAATGAAGAAGGATATCGTAGCATATGTGGCTCGTTGTTTGAGTTGCCAGCAGGTTAAGTACGAGCATCAGAGACCTGGTGGTTTATTTCAGAGGATTGAGCTTCCTGAGTGGAAGTAGGAGTGGATCACTATGGATTTTGTTACTGGATTTCCGCTAACTCGGAAGAAGTTCGACGCAGTATAGGTCATTGTTGATAGGTTGACCAAGTCAGCGCATTTCATTCCTGTGGCAGTCTCCTATTCTTCTGAGAGGTTAGCTGAGATCTACATTCGAGAGATTGTTCGCCTTCATGGTATTCCCGTATCTATCATTTCGGATCGGGGTATGCAGTTTACCTTGCATTTCTGGAGAGCAGTTCAGCGAGAGTTGGCCACATGAGTCGAATTGAGCACAGCATTTCACCCCCATACTGACGGTCAGTCGGAGCAAACTATTCAGAATTTGGAGGATATGCTCCGAGCTTGTGTTATTGACATTGGAGGCTCGTGGGATCAGTTTTTGCCTTTAGCAGAGTTTGCCTACAACAACAGCTACTAGTCGAGCATCCAGATGGCTCCTTATGAGGCTTTATATGGTAGGCGGTGTCGGTCTCCGGTTGGATGGTTTGAGCAGGGAGAGGCTCGGTTGTTGGGTACGGATCTGGTTCAGGAGGCCTTGTACAAGGTCACGATCATTCAGGATAGGCTTCGTTCAGCTCAGTCCAGTCAAAAGAGCTATGCAGACCGCAAGGTTCGAGATGTAGCTTTTATGGTTGGTGAGCGGGTATTGCTCCGAGTGTCGCCTATGAAGGGCGTGATGAGATTTGGGAAGAAGGGCAAGCTTAGCCCTAGGTTCATTGGTCCGTTTGAGATTCTTGATCGAGTGGGAGAGGTGGCTTATAGACTTGCTTTGCCGCCGAGCTTATCAGCCGTGCATCAAGTGTTTCATGTGTCCATGCTTCAGAGGTATCACGGCGATCCAGCCCACGTGTTAGATTTCAGCTCTGTCCAGTTGGACAAGGACTTGTCTTATGAGGAGAAGCCGGTGGCTATTCTAGACCGACAGGTTCGTCAGTTGAGGTCGAAGAGTTTCCCTTCTGTTCGTGTTCAGTGGAGAGGTCAGCCTCCTGAGGCATCGACCTGGGAGTCCGACTCCGATATGCGGAGCCGTTATCCTCATCTTTTCCCCAAATCAGGTACTTCCTTCTTCTGTCCGTTCGAGGACGAACGGTTGTTTTAGAGGCGGAGAACAAGGGTCATCAACTATTTTTAATTGAATTCTATGACTTCGAGGCCTTGAAAACCTCATTTAGAGTCGCCTCGATTTGCGTGCGGAGTCTGGGCGCGTAGTCGGAAAGCTTAAATATGAAATTCTGTGAAAAATGCTAAGTTTTGATGTTAAAATGAATAAATTTGACCTTGGTCAACGTTTAGGGTAAACGGACCTGGACCCGTGATTTGACGGTCCCGGAGGGTCCGTAGGAAAATATGGGACGTGGGCGTATACCCGAAATCGAATTCCGAGGTCCCAAGCCCGAGAAATGAATTTTTTAGTAAAATTATTTTCTAAAATTGTAAATCTGATTAGAAAGCGATGGTATCGGGCCCGTATTTTGGTCCCGGCGCCCGGTACAGGTCTTATATATGTTTTAAGTCCTTCCTGTGAAATTTGGTTGAAAACGGACGTCGTTTGACGTGATTCGGACCTAAATTGGAAAATTTGATGTTTTATGAAGTTTGAAAGAATTCTTGAATTTTGAGGTTTAATTCGATGTTTAAGATGTTATTTTGGCGATTTGATCGCACGAATAAGTCCGTAGGATGTTTTTGAGGTTGTGTGTATAATTGGTTTGGAGCCCCGAGGGCTCGGGTGAGTTTTGGATAGGCCACGGGTTGCATTTTTGAACTTAAAACTTAGCTGGTATGATCTGACCTGCAGGCTCGCAAATGCGAGCTGCGCAGACCTGACCCTTCATCGTAAATGCGATAATTTATTCGCAAATGCGAAGGTGCCCATGATGGCCAGGGATCGCAAATGCGATCAATATGTCGCAGATGCGACCATCGCAAATGCGACCATGGTCTCGCAAATGCGAAGGTCCGGAGTTTTTGAAGCGTTCGCAAATGCGAACAATGCTTCGCAATTCCCATATCTGCAGAGGTCGGGGTTCGCAATTGCGAACCCATGTTTGCATTTCTGAGACCTGCAATTTTTACACTTAAACGATTTTGAGCTTCATTTTCATATTTTCTCAAACCCAAACACACTTAGGCGATTTTCCAAGAACAAGTCTTCTTCCAAATCAATTGTAAGTTAGTTTTTACTCATTTCTTTCAATCATTAACATCTTTTAACATGATTTCAACCTAAAATCAAAGATTTTCATGGGGAAAATTGGGTGTTTTGGGTAGAACCTAGGTTTTCCAAAAAATTTGGGGATTTGGACCTCGATTTGAGGTCCGATTTCAAAACAAATTGTATATTTGAATTCGTGGGGGAATGGGTAATCGGGTTTTGGTTCGAACCTCGGGTTTTGACCACGTGGGCCCGGGGGCGATTTTTGACTTTTTGGGTAAAACTTTAAAAAACTCATTTTCATGCATTGGGGTTGATTCATTTAGTGTTTATTAATGTAATTAAATAATTTGTGATTAGATACGAGCGATTTGGCGGTGGAATCAAGGGGTAAAGCTATAATTGAGGCTTGAGTTGTGTTCAAGGCATCCAGGTAAGTGTTTGGTCTAACCTTAGCTTGAGGGATTAGGAGTTTAGTCATATTTGCTATGTGTTTCTTGTGGAGTACGACGTTAGGCATGGTGACGAGTATCTATACGTCGGTGTCGAGCATGACCGTGAGTCTTAAATTGATATTTGTTGTATTCTTGAATAATACTATGGTTGCAATAGTGAGTAGATCTGTGGTATTGAGTAAAGGATTAGCTTATTTTCGTAGAAGTTATTTATGAGTTGGAAATTGTGATAATGGAGATGATTAGGAGTTGAATCGAGATTGGTTATAGCTGGTTCTCCCTTGCCGGGACGAATATACTTGTACTGTTGAGTTCCCTTGCCGGGATAGGGTATTTTATGGTTGATCCCTTGCCGGAATTTTTGTCATGATTACTATGAGCTGTATATTTGGAACGGATTGCGCGCCGCAATATTTTTATTTATGCATACATATATTATATTGGATCGGGTTGCACGCCGCAACATATATATATTATATGGGATCGGGTTGCACGCCGCAACATATATTATATTGGATCGGATTGCACGCCGCAACATATATATATTATTGGATCGGGTTGCACACCGCAACAGATATATTATATTTATTGGATCGGGTTGCACGCCGCAATAGTTATATATATATAACTATGGATCGGGTTGCGCGCCGCAACAGTAGTGTTATTAAATTATTTTAGATACTGTACTGTTCCTTCACATTTGTTTAGTTTCTGCTAAGTTGAACTGTTTCCCCGATGCATGTCCCCCCTTCCTTTTAACTGCTTATTTCTTGTTTATTTTCTGCAATATATTGTATATCTGTACAGGTTTATTTGGTAGTCTGGTCCTAGTCTCGTCACTACTTCGCCGAGGTTAGGCTAGGCACTTACCAGCACATGGGGTCGGTTGTGCTGATACTACACTCTGTGCTCTTTTTTCACAGATCCAAGTCCCGGAGTAGCATTTGGTCATCAGTAGTATATTGGGAGCTATCCTTCAGTCCGAGACTCCAAGGTAGCCCTGCTGGCGTTCGCAGGCCCGGCGTCTCTTCTTTCAGTTTTTATGTTCTGTTGTCATTTGTACTCGAGACAGACTATGTTCTTTTCTTTCAAACACTTATTTGTAGTAATCCTACACAGTCCGTGGATGTTGTGACACCAGGTTCTGGTTAGAGGCACGTGTTGGTCATCAGGATGTTTTGGTTTTATATTTTATTTAAGACTTCCGCTAAATTTCATATTCCGCGGTAATTTATTTGTTTATTTCCGGTAATTTAATTGGTTAAAATGGAATTAAAAACAAAAGGAGTTAATAATTTCTAAGATCGTAGCTTGCCTAGCTTCTACGAGTAGGCGCCATCACGACTCCCGAGGGTGAGAAATTCGGGTCGTGACATGTTATTTTTAAAGAGAACAAAATTCTTGGAGAAGATGATCCTTGGACGAAGCTTTCTTTACCGTAGGCATCTTTGGCCGAGGAAACGTTGCGTCTGTTCCTTAAAGAGAAGCAGTTTATTGTAGGGTTTTTTTTAAAATTAATTAAAAGAAGGGTAATTTTCTATAATTTTATAAAAGGCAGGATAAATTAGTAATTTGACTTTTGCTTAAAGAGCTTCCTGCTTTTAATATATTGTAGATAGATAGATATAGATATAGATATAGAGATAGACTTACAGATTCTAGCCAACACTGGAACTGGTTACATCAATATATTTTTCTTTACGGGTGGAGGTGCATTAGTTATTGATGGCAAGACAATTGTAAAGTTCAAAATGCTCCCAGAAACTTAGATGCATTTTGTTAAATTCTGGACTGGTCAACTTAATACTCTCTTTTTCTAGATAATGCAACCTTCCTTTTTTTTCTAGATAATGCAACTTCTTCTCTCCCTCTTCGCTTTTTATTTCTTTACTGAACTAGTTAAAGAAACCAACAAAAGAGGAGATAAATCCAGACCTAGCTCAAGGTCTACATGACAAAGTTGGTGGTGACTTTGCTGACCAAATGCTTTCCATAAACAGCTCCTTCAAAATTCTTGGTGCGTCCAGTCTTCTCTAAACACACATCTAGCGGCTCTATTGCGGCATCAAAGTTTGGCTATATGGAAAATAAAACACACATCATCAGCAACTAACATCAAGCCATACCATATTTCTTTTACTTAAATTGCCACAAAAGAAAAAAGAGCCATTAACCTCATAAAAGTAAGCCACGCAAACACGATATTTGGGGGAGTTATTGATGACCCGGTGCAATGTTGATTCATACATTCCGTTTGATAAGATCTACCAATAGTCAGCAGACAAGACTAGCTTAAGCAGAGGAGTAAGAATGATTAAAAAGTTGCAAAGCAAATTGCATACCTTCAACATATCTCCTATATTGCACACAAATGTGCCAGGGATAGGTGGTGCTGATATCCACTCGCCCGATTTGTTTCTCACCTTAAAACAACTCAATATGATTAGTAGTGAAAAAAAGAGATATATTTCATCAGCAACTCAGCCTTGTAAATTAGGATGAACTTCAAATCATAAAACAAAGATGTAAGATGAGGCTTTACAAATTAAATCTAGGGAGCAGGCAAGCTTTAAGGACTCGGAAGCCAATCTTCCTCAGTAACTTTCAAAGAAGGAAACAAAATTGGAACGAGGAAACATAATTGTACCTGAAGGGCAACTATGTCGTCATCCTGGTTGACTAATGTCAATAGCCCTATAAGATGAGAAAAAACTTATATCATGGTTGCTAATCAATGGGGATAGTATGCTATCTTTGTAAAGATCAGAAACTTTACCATAATCTGTATGGGCACCACTGAGATTTGTTCGGTTCCGAGAAACGAGATGGACAACAGAGAAAGCCAAAAAACATCACTCATTGGAAAAGAGATACACCAATAACAGAACAGAAAGAAAAAAAGATTTAAACAAGGAAAGATGTGACGACCGACACCAGCAACTTACCATCCAACATCATTGTCAGCCTTATCATGTCCATTTGAAATGGATGCAGCAGGGTAGCCAATTATTCGCAAGACCCAAAATGGATCACCACCTATTTCACCCTCCATTTCATCCGCTGATCCACCCAATGCCAGAGCAATTCCCCTCATTATCTTTCGTGATAGATCTGTCAGCAGTATAACACAAAAGTTCACCAACTTCTTTTCAGTTCCGTGTGGAAAACCTTATCAGTATACCCACTGCGAAAATGTCAAAGGAGCATGTAATAGAGAAAGGCACCTGTGCAACGGTCAACATACTCCTCCATTAACTGCTTGAAATTTGGAGGGTTACTTGGCCTGCATAAGAAAACAATGTATGTAGACCAAACAAAATGAAAAAACAACAAAATTCAAAGTCGGCATTTAGCAGTCAGTAGCATAAACCAAGGGTAAGAAATGGCAAGGGTTTTAAGATGTACAAGGGGAAAGGAAGGAAGGGGTAAGTGCAAAGATTATAACTAACTCGTGAACTTACCATATGTTGGATCCTTGCATAACTTTTCCAAGATCTCCATACATCCCATGTTTCACTTCTCTATAGCACTGCAACCAATAGAGACAAAAGTACATCAAAGACGATTTAGTAACAGAAACAGTAAAATTACTAATAATTATAATAGCTCATTTGGCCAAGCTTCTAAAATCAGCTTATTTTGAGAAGTGCTTTTCTCAAAAGTATTTTTCAAAAAAGTGCTTTTGGTGAGAAGCAGTTTGTGTTTGGCTAATTGATTTGAAAAGCACTTTTGAGCAGTAATTAGTGTTTGGCCAAGCTTTTGAAAACTGCTTCTAAGTATATTTTTCTCAAAAGTGCTTTTGGAAAGAAGCTACTTTTTTCTGCTTCTCCTCAAAAGCACTTTTTTCCATCTAAAAGCTTGGCCAAACACCTTAAATTTTGGCCAAAAGTGCTTTTGGCCAAAAAAAGCACGTTTGGACCCAAAAAAAAAGAACTTGGCCAAACAGGCTATAAAACAAAGTATTCCTATAAAAGCTGTATCGAGACATATGTGCACATAGAAACTGATATTGAGAGGAGTTCACATCTATACCATTGCAAACAGCAGAAATGTTGTCCGTAGTTGAAGAATGGTTTTAATAGAAAAAGCAATTTTTTCTCATTTTTGAGAAGAGCTTAATCAATTTGTGAATGAATTAATGATAACGTTCAAAGGTGAGCCAGAAACCCAAATAATTGAAACAAGACTGCAACAAGCCCCAATCACAATAGGTAAGGGTAAATAGGAATGACGTGACAATCTGTACACTGTTTAAAAGCTCTCTCTTCATCTAACACGCACGCGCATACACACTCTCTCTACATAGAAGATGTGACCAAGATGAGGCTAACAGCAGGAAAATAAGACTTCTCTTTTTGTTTTAACCATTGGCTACTTTAATGAGACAAATAGGACAGGCATATTCTTTCTTGCATTAACAGTTTGCCAGTGCATATCGTTTGCTCCATACAAGTTTGATATTGCCTTTCCTGGATCCAAAGACTGCATATTTATATATCTAGATTGTCCTATAGCCACAGTAATTCAATCAGTTCCAGTTTTACAAAACAATCAGAAACTGACCACACACTTCTAAACCTCCAAATAGTGAGCAAACAGTGGTAAACAGCTATCTAATGCATAATGTGTGAAAAATTCTACACATCTAATCCAAAACTTCAAATGGTAGGGTAAAGAGAAGCTACAGAAATAGAATCAGTAGAAATAATTTGCATTTGGGCCAGAATAAGAAAAGAATATAGCTATAAGCACGGGCTTACAGGTGAAACGGTGAAGAAACCCAAGAATAATACAACAAGTGGTACACTTATTATTTTCTGTAATATATAGGCCATAAGTAATTAGTATAACCTACATCAATAGCTTCATGTATATCAGGTATGCCTTTGGTTATATTCTCTCCGACTCTTTGATATCCTCTGCATTCAAGATACATAAGCAATCATTAGTTAAGATAATGTGTTGGATTTAAGATACTAGGTAAAGACTAGAATAAACCTGTATCCCGTTGCTGCAGAAAGTTTGATTTTGAGTTTCTCGTCATAGGGTTGATGAAAATACTCACGTGTGATGCCTCTAATCTCTTTCATAAGGGAAAGAGAAATACCATGGCCCTTCTGCAAGAACAGAAGACACAACAATTTAGTTTCACTAATACAGAAAGTAACAATTAACATTACGAAAGATCCAAACATGACTTAAAAGTAAGGAGAAGCTTAGCTTCTTTCACAGTGACAGCACACTGTTTTCCCCAATATTGTAAATTCAATAGATACAAAAAATAGGCTGCAATTAAGAAAGAAAAATTAGCAGGAGAAGAATAATTACCACATAAAAGAATCCAGCTTCTCTACAAGCATGATCCAATTGTCTAACAACTTGAGCTACACCTTCGTCGTGAGCCAAATTTGGATGATCCCACTTCTCTAAAAGAGGACTTATATCTGTCTCATAGGAAAAGATAAAATTAATTTTCACAGAACCAATTGAACAGTTTTAAGCAAGGTTTGCACAGCCATATCCAAAAAGTGAAGATAAATAGAAGTAAGAACTTGTAAATAGGGCTTGGAATTGGCTTGAAATTTTCGACCTATTATTGGGATAGACTTGAAATCTGTTGCCATGGTGCTTGGAGTTTTGTGTCTAGGCTCAAGCAACTCTTGCTCTTGCTACCTCTGTTAGGCGTTAGCTGATTCTTTTGGTCTCTTGTTTTTTGAGTAATATTCCTCAGTTATAATGGAGCCTAGCTGACTGCTACTTACTAGTACTAGGAGTATATAAACTCTCCAATCTATAATGATGAGTTTAGCTCAGTTTACCTGCTTTCACTTACCTAATTTTTACTGTGAAGTCCAACATCCTTTTACCGACTCTAGTTAAATAAAAACTTCAAAAAGTACATAAAATGTACCAAAATATTGTAAAAAATCACGAAATATAGAAAAAAAATTATTCTCTAGCAGTAATATTCTTTTTGAAAAAAGAGAATAATACAATTTTAAATTAATTATCTATATTATTGTAATTCATCCTTAAATTGTATATCCGTTATCCATGTTAGGTGTTCGCTTGGTAGGCCGATCTCCAAAAGATACTGTCTTGCCTATACAAATTGGGCGAGTTTGGTCCTGAAAACACACTTTGCGAGTTGAGCAAACGGGAAGGAATTTGTATGACTTGTACACCCAGGACGGAGCTAGCATAGAGTTTATGAATTCGACTTGTTGAGATGGTTAAAATGACAGCTGGTAACTGTTGTGAAGCTGAATGCTTAGAGGGTGACAGAGTTATTTGGGTGATAGCCATGTACTATAGTTTAGTCAGTTAGTTAGTTAATTAGTGGAGTAGGTGTTAATTTTATTAGGTTCACGCGTACAGTGTGTTGAGTTAATTAGCCAATGTAATCACTCTCATTTTCTGCAATTGAGAATCGATTACTTCCAGAACCTTATTCTTCTTTCTTCAATTTGATTTGAGCTTCAATTCTCCACACTTCAATGGTGGAATTTATCACAACCAAACTATAAAATCTCGTATTTATTTTTAAAAATCCATTGAATATGTACATCCTCCCCTCTCTCTCACGAGGGGCTTAGGAAGTGGCACGTGGATGCTCATTCTCTCATTGGCTTATGAAATTTATAAAATTTAAATTTTGATTTCAGCTCAGGTTATTAGTACGTGTAGAGGATAAAAGAAAGGGAATAGGAAAAACATTACTCCCTCCGGTCCAAATAAGTGATTTTTTGGCCTTTTTCTTGTGGTCCAAAATAAGTGATTTTTTCAGATTTCAAGAATGAAGTAATTATTTCTTTCCTACATTGTCCTTGAAGTAAAAGGTGTTGGAATATGTGTTAGGAGTTTTTATGTGAGATAGTAAAGGTTAATATGGTCAATTCCATTGCTAATAAATGCTAAAAGGTGGATTTCTTAATTTGTGTGAAAACATCCAAAAAATTACTTATTTTGGACCGGAGGGAGTACAAGTCTTGCACCTTTTTCAATGTAAAACAACAGCTTTTTCATTTAAGTTGTGACCATATTCTCCAAAAGTCCACATCTTATCTTTTTGTTCTTTATAAGTGATAATAGGTGAATTTGACTATAATCACACCTTAAATAATCACCTTCTTGCGTAGTTTTAATGCTAAAAGTGATGACAAAATGCTCTTATTAGTGCTTTTCATGATTTGTAGGTGATATATGTATAAAGACGGCTAAGGAGCAGTTTTGGAGTCAAAAGTGATGAAAAAGAGGCCAACTGTGAAATTTCCTAAGTGACCCGGGCAAAAACAGGCCGAAGATTCAGAGAAT